CGGGGACAGCGAGCTTTCTTCGACATCAGGATTTTTGATCCCATGGCCGCATGTCACCATAACCTAGCTCTCGATGCTGCACATAGGAGGAACGAGAACGACAAGAGAAGGGCATATGGGGAGAGAATTCAAAACGTTGATCAAGGCAGCTTCACTCCTCTAGTGTTCACAACCTCTGGTGGGATGGGCCCAAGTGCAAGATGTTTCTACGCCAGACTCGCGGAGTTGATCTCCGAACAGAAGCAGCAGCCCAGAAGTTATGTTACAGCCTGGATGAGATGTCGACTGTCTTTCTCTCTCCTTCGGTCGGCTTTGCTCTGCCTCAGGGGAACGAGAGCTTCTGCCCCAACTCCGACAACTGCTGCAGATATTGACTATGAGGCTACAGTCACTGAATGCCGCATAGATCTGCGGCTCAACTAATTTAACACAGATAGGATAGCTTCTTATGTATTAGGATATTTAATATTAAGGTAATTAAATGGTGGCGAAGGTGTGGCTATTGGGGGAGGCTGGAGGCCACGTTAAAAAAAAAAAGTAGTAGTAGTAGTAGTAGTAGTAGTAGTAGTAGTGGTAGTAGTGGTGATAGTAGTAATGTAGTTGTGGTGGTAGTAGTTGTAGTAGTAGTGATAGTATTAATAGTAGTAGTGGTGGTAATAGTGGTAAAGACAGGTAAGACGGCAACTTTCTACTCGAGGGTCAGGCGGAACCTTACGCTGTAATGGTCAGTTTTGGGGCGACTTTTTATACGTCTGATCTACACTACGTCTCTTGTCAAGGCTGTTCTGATGGTGTCATCTGATGGTGGAGTGTGTCATCTGATGGTGCAGTGTGTCATGTGACCTTTACTCTCTCTCTCTCTCTCTCTCTCTCTCTCTCTCTCTCTCTCTCTCACCTGGAAGCGTCAGGAAGCAGACTCACACACACAGAGGAAGTTCACTAACAACACCGGAAACACGAAAGTTATTACTACCCACAACTGAAGATAGATAGATAGATAGATAGATCGATAGATAGATAGATAGATCGATAGATAGATAGATAGATAGATAGATAGATAGATAGATAGATAGATAGATAGATAACAAGGATCAACTGAAGACTAAATAGCCCAGCAGGTAGATATGGGTAGATATAGGCACAAGCCGGTAGACACAGGTACCAGCAGGTAGACACAGGTAAGTACCCCATTACCCCAAGGTCAACAGGTGACCTGGCTGCTCTGGTACTCCCTGATTGGTGACTCAGTACCAAGGTTCCGCTCTAACTCTCTCACTATCACTGGGAAGAGGAAGTGGCGGGGTGGTAAGTAGGGAAGTGGCGGTGAGTAGGGAAGTGGCGGTGAGTAGGGAAGTGGCGGTAGTGGGGTAGTGGTGATGGTGAGATAGTGGGGGTGAGTAGGGTAATGATGGTTGTAGTGGTAGGGTAGTGGTGGTGGTGATAGGGTAGTAGTGGCGGTGGTGGTGGTGTAGTGGTGGCGGTGGTGGTGGTGGTGGTGGTGGTGGTAGGGTAGTAGTGGTGGTGGTGGTGGTGGTAGGGTAGTAGTGGCGGTGGTGGTGGTGTAGTGGTAGTGGTTCTGACGATGGTAGACCTATGGAACAGTCTACCAGCACCAGCCATAGGGACGAGAACAGACCCGGGCTTCCAAACAGTATTAGATAAGACTGTCAAGAACAATGAAGGGATCCTATTGTGACCACTGGCCTTGTCTTGGCCACCCCTATATAGTTTGGGCGGCCATTGGGTGAATAAGGACTTACGTTTTAACGGGCAGACCTAACTCTTCACCTACGCTATAACGAGGTTGACTGTTCGAGGGAGGAGGCACTGAAGGTGGTACTGGAGGTGCAGGAGGAGGAAGACCCTAACTGGGGGCCAACTTTCACCAAATTACCTACCACAGCTTCCGGTGATCACGGCGGTGTGTGGGGAGGGAGGGAGGGGGGAGGAAGGGAAGGAATTTAATAAAAATTTTGGTCCTGACAGCGGCTAGTTTATTGTGCACCCCATACTCCTTCTGTGAGCGGCAACACACAAAGTGATGCAGAAGAATCACAATGTGTTTATCAGGGGACACTCAACACAGTATGTCTCCTGCATCATTTGTTGCTATATTTGTCAGTTCATGTTTTACAAGTGACAATCCAAATAGCAAAATACCATTTATTGGCCTCCGAGCGTCACTCCCAACTGAAAAAATTGCCATTTAGGTCGAAAAATGCATTATTTCTGGCCGAACACCTTACATTTATTTTTCACATCTCCGTGAGGAACATAATGCCAGAGGTACAGTATACTTGTATCCTAACCTTAGTCTAGCGGTTACAACATCTTGTAATCTAGTGATCTTGTTACTTGCCCCATAAACATGTTTTACTTGATACTTCTCATTATAGTAGACAATGAATTGACTACTGCCTGTTTGCACTTGTCTGCTTGCCTCAAATTCATCTGTAAGTGATAGGGGTTCCTTTTGACATACCTAGAGTGTATTCAACAGTGTCTTTGTTAGACACGAGGTTAGCTAAGGTATCAACTGTCATGTTCACTGAGGGCTGTGTGAGAGGGGATACACAACAGCTTGGTGTTGACACCCCCGTCAACTAGGTACCGGGTATCCATATTTGTGTCTGGCTTCGGAGACAAGCGTACAACAACTTAAGTTGAGAGTGTCAAGGGCAAGTAGTGAAAATAGGGAGTCAGTGATGATGAGACTGTCAGTGGTTTCAACAAGTTTTATGGCTGTGAGTATACACGGCAAATAATTCAATTTGTAGAGTGGAGACCCAGCTATTAATTCTAACTCCATTTTCTATCATACACCTTTAGGCTGAATCACAATGGCATCACTTGCAGACCTCTCACAGACAGTGTTAAAGAGAGCCATAAGTGGAGATGGTCTGTGTGGTGTTAATGTGTTCAAGAGCTGTGAGGTGGAGGTAAGGACCGGGCAGGTATGTGGGTGTTGCGATAGTGAAGGGAGGTAAGTGTGTCTTGTGAGGGAGAGTGGAGCAGTGGAGTTAACAAAGGGGGGAGTAAGGGAGGCACCAGTAGGTGGATGGAGGGAGGAGGGAGGGAAGGAGGAAGAGAGGTAGGGTGGGAAGGATAGATGGAGGGAAGGAGATACACGGCCAAGGCCTTTTACGCTTTCATATGTGTGTGTGTGTTCATGGCGACCTGTGGTATAATGGTCAGCATACTCGCCTCGCAAGCGAGCAGACCCGGGTTCGATCCCCGGGCAGGGTGAAATTATGGGCAAGTTTCTTTACGCCATTTGCCTGTGTATACCCTGCAGTAATTGGGAACCTGGATGTTAATCGATTTGCGGATCGTATTCCGGGATAATGATTAGCCAGTGAAGTTGGCGAGTTGTCCGGTCTTCTCGGACTATTCCTTGACACTGGGTCATACAGCTCGTTAACTCAGGGTGTGGTTGTTGTTTTGGCGACAGCTTCTACACCTTAAACAAAAATTCACGCCTAGGTGGCCCTTGGACCGGCCATCCTCGTTACTCGAGGGGTGACTATTATAATGTGTGTGTGTGTAATAGTGTGTGTGTGTGTGTGTGTGTGTGTGTGTGTGTGTCAAGTGTTAGCAGGTGTAGGCAGGTGTATGTCAGGTAATAGTAGACATAGGCAGGTGTGTGTGTGTCAAGTATTAGCAGGTGTGTGTCAGGTATTAGCAGGTGTAGGCAGGTGTGTGTGTGTCAAGTGTTAGCAGGTGTAGGCAGGTGTGTGTCAGGTATTAGCAGGTGTAGGCAGGTGTGTGTGTGTCAAGTGTTAGCAGGTGTATGTCAGGTAATAGTAGGCATAGGCAGGTGTGTGTGTCAAGTATTAGCAGGTGTGTGTCAGGTATTAGCAGGTGTAGGCAGGTGTGTGTGTGTCAAGTCTTAGCAGGTGTGTGTCAGGTATTAGCAGGTGTGTGTGTGTCAAGTGTTGCAGGTGTAGGCAGGTGTGTGTGTGTGTGTGCGTCAAGTGTTAGCAGGTGTAGACAGGTGTGTGTCAGGTAATAGTATGCATAGGCAGGTGTGTGTGTCAAGTATTAGCAGGTGTGTGTCAGGTATTAGCAGGTGTAGGCAGGTGTGTGTGTCAAGTGTTAGCAGGTGTAGGCAGATGTGTGTCAGGTATTAGCAGGTGTAGGCAGGTGTGTGTCAGGTAATAGTAGGTATAGGCAGGTGTGTGTGTCAAGTGTTAGCAGGTGTGTGTCAGGTATTAGCAGGTGTAGGCAGGTGTGTTGTTGTGGGGAGAAGACTTGATTCTGTGTAACATAACAATAATGACCATACACAAAAGAGTACCTCATACCTCACCAGCCCTCACCACAGCCCTCACCTCCCTCATCAGCCCTCACCAGCCCTCACCACAGCCCTCACCTCCCTCATCATAGCCCTCACCAGCCCTCATCACCAGTATCCTTGAAGGGTATTGATATTAAAACTGTTTATTTAGCCAGAAAAATATAGATAGAAAGTGGACAATAACAACAACATTGGCATGGGTGAGCCTGAGCACCTGATTACTGTACATTTATCTCAAGGAATTATTATATAACTTGTAGTATCATCTGGATTACTACATGGTGTTGATAAATACTTATAAGAGTGTTACCGCCTTTATTACTTGATTTAATCTTTTTATTTGTATTATAAATATATATACCACATTTATGCTACAGCTTATAGTTGATATAAGTGGGTGGAAGCGATAGATGGGTTGGGTTAAGGTGAAACAAACGTACTAACAGTCAGGATCATGTCGTGACGTCAAAATATATAATAGGAAGGAAGAGTAGTCTACTAACCCGATTCTTTCCTTACAACCGTTTTCTTCCACAACACGCCAACGACGTCACACAATAAGCTCTGCCCATGCGCGTAGGTTGGTTTCCTAAGATTTTCATAACGAATGTCTTCAGCACAGAGGGGAACTCTTAAATTAATGTCAGTTTTTCACCTGACGGGCAGCAAAGGCTTGTGCCTGGGATCGTCCCCGGGCTGCTGCCTATTCTCTGGCCCAGGCAGTTCTGTTGGTGGGTGGTTTCTTGGGTTGGAGCTCTTGTTGTTTAGGTTGTTCTCTGGCCAAGGCAGTTCTGTTGGTGGGTGGTTTCTTGGGCTGGAGCTCTTGTTGTTTAGGTTGTTCTCTGGCCAAGGCAGTTCTGTTGGTGGGTGGTTTCTTGGGCTGGAGCTCTTGTTGTTTAGGTTGTTCTCTGGCCCAGGCAGTTCTGTTGGTGGGTGGTTTCTTGGGCTGGAGCTCTTGTTGTTTAGGTTGTTCTCTGGCCAGGCAGTTCTGTTGGTGGGTGGTTTCTTGGGCTGGAGCTCTTGTTGTTTAGGTTGTTCTCTGGCCAAGGCAGTTCTGTTGGTGGTGGTTTCTTGGGCTGGAGCTCTTGTTGTTTAGGTTGTTCTCTGGCCAAGGCAGTTCTGTTGGTGGGTGGTTTCTTGGGCTGAAGCTCCTGTTGTTTAGGTTGTTCTCTGGCCCAGGCAGTTCTGTTGGTGGGTGGTTTCTTGGGCTGGAGCTCTTGTTGTTTAGGTTGTTCTCTGGCCAAGGCAGTTCTGTTGGTGGGTGGTTTCTTGGGCTGGAGCTCTTGTTGTTTAGGTTGTTCTCTGGCCCAGGCAGTTCTGTTGGTGGGTGGTTTCTTGGGTTAGGGCTTAGGGTGGATCGGTTCTTGGACTTTCTGTTTATTTTCGAACTGGTGAGCCCTGGCCCTACCCTGGATTCCAGCGTTTCTTCGAGCCCACAGGACCCTTTCAGTCCCAATAGGTATGGGTTTTCCATGGGAGGAAGCCTCCTCGGCATCTTTGGCAGGATCAAGACCCGCCTTCCTGCCTGGAGGCTATTTAGCCATATTATGAAGGGGTTTTTGGGGGGATGATTCCTCCTCGACGGGATTGGTGACCGGGGTAAGAGTCTCAATTGTCTCTTCGAGACACTTTTCAACGTCTTTTATATCCTCGACGGGATTGGTGACCGGGGTAAGAGTCTCAATTGTCTCCTCGAGACAATTTTCAACGTCTTTTATATCCTCGACGGGATTGGTGACCGGGGTAAGAGTCTCAATTGTCTCCTCGAGACAATTTTCAACGTCTTTTATATCCTCGACGGGATTGGTGACCGGGGTAAGAGTCTCAATTGTCTCCTCGAGACAATTTTCAACATCTTTTATATCCTCGACGGGATTGGTGACCGGGGTAAGAGTCTCAATTGTCTCCTCGAGACAATTTTCAACGTCTTTTATAATTTTCTCCAGGTTGGGCCTCACCTTTGGGTCACTACTGAAAATTGTTTGTTTTACTTCTAAAAGCTTCGTCGGCCATTCCTCCCCTATTTCATGAAATATTGAACTCATTATTTTTCCCAGGTCATATATGTCTGTTGTAGGACTGGCCAAGCGAACACTTGAGGGTTCTGGGCCAAGCTGCAAGTCCTGCCCTAAAAAGCGGGCGTGACCATAATCGACAATATTTACCTGCATGGTTTCTGCTGGGACCACCAGCACATCTTGTGGTTTAAGATCACAGTGCACGACCCCCTTATTATGAATTTGTTGGAGGCTCTTTGCCATCTCCAACATTATTTATAATTATACTTTTAAATCGGCATCTACATCAATATATTTTTTTACGTTTTCACATCCGCGGTATGTGCAAACCAGGGCAGGTTTTTCGAAACATAAGGCGATAAGTAGTGGGGCTCCCCCGGCACCATCCAGGTGCTTCAACATCTGAGCCTCTGCTTGTAGCATTCTAGTGTTTAAGGCCATATTACCATGTTCGTGGTACATTTTCAATACTGCTAGATCAGCATGGAACTAATTGTTCATCTAAAAAAGGAGTAAATTTGCAGTGGACCCTGCATCTAAATCCATATTCAACCCACCCCAGTTGACCCAGTTCAATATATCACCCCAAGTTATGATAGGGATATATTTTTCCATACTGCAAATGTATGTTACTGTATTTAGTTGACACTGTATAGGGCACCAAAAGTCATTAAAATACAGTTATATTTTAAAGTCAGCTTGGAACCTGAATGACACACATAAGTTGTAGAGTTTAACCTGTAATATTGTACACAATTCAGGTGCTTTATGAGTGTTGTAGTGATGACTGTGTGAGTGTTGTAGTGATGACTGTGTGTGTTGTAGTAATGACTGTGTGAGTGTTGTAGTAATGACTGTGTGAGTGTTGTAGTGATGACCATATGAGTGTTGTAGTGATGACTGTGTGTGTGGTGTGTGTTGTAGTAATGACTGTGTGTGTTGTAGTAATGACTGTGTGAGTGTTGTAGTGATGACTGTGTGAGTGTTGTCGTGATGACTGTGTGTGTTGTAGTGATGACTGTGTAAGTGTTGTAGTAATGACTGTGTGAGTGTTGTAGTGATGACTGTGTGAGTTTTGTAGTGATGACTGTGTGAGTGTTGTAGTGATGACTGTGTGTGTTGTAGTAATGACTGTGTGTGTTGTAGTAATGACTGTGTGTGTTTTAGTAATGACTGTGTGAGTGTTGTAGTGATGACTGTGTGTGTTGTAGTAATGACTATGTGTGTTTTAGTAATGACTGTGTGAGTGTTGTAGTGATGACCGTATGAGTGTTGTAGTGATGACTGTGTAAGTGTTGTAGTGATGACTGTGTGAGTGTTGTAGTGATGACTGTGTGTGTTGTAGTAATGACTGTGTGAGTGTTGTAGTGATGACTGTGTGTGTTGTAGTAATGACTGTGTGTGTTTTAGTAATGACTGTGTGAGTGTTGTAGTGATGACTGTGTGTGTTGTAGTAATGACTGTGTGAGTGTTGTAGTGATGACCATATGAGTGTTGTAGTGATGACTGTGTGTGTTGTAGTAATGACTGTGTGTGTTTTAGTAATGACTGTGTGAGTGTTGTAGTGATGACCATATGAGTGTTGTAGTGATGACTGTGTGAGTGTTGTAGTGATGACTGTGTGTTGTAGTGATGACCATATGAGTGACTGTTTGAGTGTTGTAGGGATGACTGTTGTGATGACTGTGTGTGTGTTGTAGTGATGACTGTGTGTTGTAGTGATGACCATATGAGTGTTGTAGTGATGACTGTGTGAGTCTTGTCGTGATGACTTTGTGAGTCTTGTAGTGATGACTGTGTGTGGTGTAGTGATGACTGTGTAAGTGTTGTAGTGATGACTGTGTGAGTCTTGTAGTGATGACTGTGTGTGTTTTGTAGTGATGACTGTGTGAGTGTTGTATCGATGACTGTGTGAGTCTTGTAGTGATGACTGTGTGTGTTGTAGTGATGATTGTGTGAGTGTTGTAGTGATAACTGTGTGAGTGTTGTAGTGATGACTGTGTGAGTGTTGTAGGTATGATTGTGTGAGTGTTGTAGGTATGATTGTGTGAGTCTTGTAGTGATGACTGTATGAGTGTTCTAGTGATGACTGTGTGTGTTGTAGTGATGACTGTGTGAGTCTTGTAGTGATGACTGTATGAGTCTTGTAGCAGCAGCAGAAACAACAACACGAGCAAGAGCAGTAGCACCATCACCTACACTACATTAACTACAGTATCATCTACACTACATTAACTACAGTATCATGTACACTACATTAACTACAGTATCATGTACACTACATTAACTACAGTATCATCTACACTACATTAACTACAGTATCATCTACACTACATTAACTACAGTATCATGTACACTACATTAACTACAGTATCATCTACACTACATTAACTACAGTATCATCTACACTACATTAACTACAGTATCATCTACACTACATTAACTACAGTATCATGTACACTACATTAACTACAGTATCATGTACACTACATTAACTACAGTATTATCTACACTACAGTATCATCTACACTACATTAACTACAGTATCATCTACACTACATTAACTACAGTATCATCTACACTACATTAACTACAGTATCATGTACACTACATTAACTACAGTATCATCTACACTACAGTATCATCTACACTACATTAACTACAGTATCATCTACACTACATTAACTACAGTATCATCTACACTACATTAACTACAGTATCATGTACACTACATTAACTACAGTATCATCTACACAACATTAACTACAGTATCACCTACACTACATTAACTACAGTATCATCTACACTACATTAACTACAGTATCATGTACACTACATTAACTACAGTGTCACCTACACTACATTAACTACAGTATCATCTACACTACATTAACTACAGTATCACCTACACTTCATTAACTACAGTATCATCTACACTACATTAACTACAGTATCATCTACACTACATTAACTACAGTATCATGTACACTACATTAACTACAGTATCATCTACACTACAGTATCATCTTCACTACATTAACTTCAGTATCATCTACACTACATTAACTACAGTATCATCTACACTACATTAACTACAGTATCATCTACACTACAGTATCATCTACACTACATTAACTACATTATCTTCTACACTACAGTATCATCTTCACTACATTAACTACAGTATCATCTACACTACATTAACTACAGTATCATCTACACTACATTAACTACTGTATCATCTACACTACATTAACTACAGTGTCATCTACACTACATTAACTACAATATCATCTACACTATACTAACTACAGTATCATCTACACTACATTAACTACAGTATCATCTACACTACAGTAACTTCAGTATCATCTACACTACATTGGCTAAACTATCATCTACACTACATTAACTACAGTATCATCTACACTACAGAAAGATGTGGGATACCATTAAAAAGTGAAAGTTGCATAGTAAAAGTTTATTATAAAAAGAAAAATAATTAATTGAAACTAAATATTTACTCTTTATGGTAAAAAACAAAAAATAAAGGCAAGTTGAAAGTGAAAGTTTGACAAGTTAGAAAGTAAAGGATGTTATCTTACTACAGTGAGGGACTAAGAAGAAAGTAGAAAGTGAAAGTTTTGGGTTAAGAAAGTTTGTTAAAAGATCGTGATGAAAACTCGGTATAAACTATATAGTGAAAGTAAGTTGATAGAAAGCAGAGGGAAAGGGGAAGTAGCGACAAAAATAAGGAAGTAAAAGTGATTTCGTTTAACTTTCTAAGTGGAAGGCATTTGTGAGGGGCCTATAATGTGTGTGTGTGTGTGTGTGTGTGTGTGTGTTTAAGACTGTGAGTTTAATAAAACAATAATAAACAAGATGTACGACAGAGAGTCTATACAGTAAGTAGTGAAGTGATGATGTGAGACTGGTCCAGGGTAGGGAGAGGCAGGAGGAGGGAGGTGGCTCTCTCTCTCTCTCTCTCTCTCTCATAGCCCTCACCACAGCCCTCACCTCCCTCATCAGCCCTCATCAGCCCTCACCACAGCCCTCACCTCCCTCATCATAGCCCTCACCAGCCCTCATCACCAGTATCCTTGAAGGGTATTGATATTAAAACTGTTTATTTAGCCAGAAAAATATAGATAGAAAGTGGACAATAACAACAACATTGGCATGGGTGAGCCTGAGCACCTGATTACTGTACATTTATCTCAAGGAATTATTATATAACTTGTAGTATCATCTGGATTACTACATGGTGTTGATAAATACTTATAAGAGTGTTACCGCCTTTATTACTTGATTTAATCTTTTTATTTGTATTATAAATATATATACCACATTTATGCTACAGCTTATAGTTGATATAAGTGGGTGGAAGCGATAGATGGGTTGGGTTAAGGTGAAACAAACGTACTAACAGTCAGGATCATGTCGTGACGTCAAAATATATAATAGGAAGGAAGAGTAGTCTACTAACCCGATTCTTTCCTTACAACCGTTTTCTTCCACAACACGCCAACGACGTCACACAATAAGCTCTGCCCATGCTCGTAGGTTGGTTTCCTAAGATTTTCATAACAAATGTCTTCAGCACAGAGGGGAACTCTTAAATTAATGTCAGTTTTTCACCTGACGGGCAGCAAAGGCTTGTGCCTGGGATCGTCCCCGGGCTGCTGCCTATTCTCTGGCCCAGGCAGTTCTGTTGGTGGGTGGTTTCTTGGGTTGGAGCTCTTGTTGTTTAGGTTGTTCTCTGGCCAAGGCAGTTCTGTTGGTGGGTGGTTTCTTGGGCTGGAGCTCTTGTTGTTTAGGTTGTTCTCTGGCCAAGGCAGTTCTGTTGGTGGGTGGTTTCTTGGGCTGAGCTCTTGTTGTTTAGGTTGTTCTCTGGCCCAGGCAGTTCTGTTGGTGGGTGGTTTCTTGGGCTGGAGCTCTTGTTGTTTAGGTTGTTCTCTGGCCAAGGCAGTTCTGTTGGTGGGTGGTTTCTTGGGCTGGAGCTCTTGTTGTTTAGGTTGTTCTCTGGCCAAGGCAGTTCTGTTGGTGGGTGGTTTCTTGGGCTGGAGCTCTTGTTGTTTAGGTTGTTCTCTGGCCCAGGCAGTTCTGTTGGTGGGTGGTTTCTTGGGCTGGAGCTCTTGTTGTTTAGGTTGTTCTCTGGCCAAGGCAGTTCTGTTGGTGGGTGGTTTCTTGGGCTGAAGCTTCCTTGGGCTGGAGCTCTTGTTGTTTAGGTTGTTCAGGCAGGCAGTTCTGTTGGTGGGTGGTTTCTTGGGCTGGAGCTCTTGTTGTTTAGGTTGTTCTCTGGCCAAGGCAGTTCTGTTGGTGGGTGGTTTCTTGGGCTGGAGCTCTTGTTGTTTAGGTTGTTCTCTGGCCCAGGCAGTTCTGTTGGTGGGTGGTTTCTTGGGTTAGGGCTTAGGGTGGATCGGTTCTTGGACTTTCTGTTTATTTTCGAACTGGTGAGCCCTGGCCCTACCCTGGATTCCAGCGTTTCTTCGAGCCCACAGGACCCTTTCAGTCCCAATAGGTATGGGTTTTCCATGGGAGGAAGCCTCCTCGGCATCTTTGGCAGGATCAAGACCCGCCTTCCTGCCTGGAGGCTATTTAGCCATATTATGAAGGGGTTTTTGGGGGGATGATTCCTCCTCGACGGGATTGGTGACCGGGGTAAGAGTCTCAATTGTCTCTTCGAGACACTTTTCAACGTCTTTTATATCCTCGACGGGATTGGTGACCGGGGTAAGAGTCTCAATTGTCTCCTCGAGACAATTTTCAACGTCTTTTATATCCTCGACGGGATTGGTGACCGGGGTAAGAGTCTCAATTGTCTCCTCGAGACAATTTTCAACATCTTTTATATCCTCGACGGGATTGGTGACCGGGGTAAGAGTCTCAATTGTCTCCTCGAGACAATTTTCAACGTCTTTTATAATTTTCTCCAGGTTGGGCCTCACCTTTGGGTCACTACTGAAAATTGTTTGTTTTACTTCTAAAAGCTTCGTCGGCCATTCCTCCCCTATTTCATGAAATATTGAACTCATTATTTTTCCCAGGTCATATATGTCTGTTGTAGGACTGGCCAAGCGAACACTTGAGGGTTCTGGGCCAAGCTGCAAGTCCTGCCCTAAAAAGCGGGCGTGACCATAATCGACAATATTTACCTGCATGGTTTCTGCTGGGACCACCAGCACATCTTGTGGTTTAAGATCACAGTGCACGACCCCCTTATTATGAATTTGTTGGAGGCTCTTTGCCATCTCCAACATTATTTATAATTATACTTTTAAATCGGCATCTACATCAATATATTTTTTTACGTTTTCACATCCGCGGTATGTGCAAACCAGGGCAGGTTTTTCGAAACATAAGGCGATAAGTAGTGGGGCTCCCCCGGCACCATCCAGGTGCTTCAACATCTGAGCCTCTGCTTGTAGCATTCTAGTGTTTAAGGCCATATTACCATGTTCGTGGTACATTTTCAATACTGCTAGATCAGCATGGAACTAATTGTTCATCTAAAAAAGGAGTAAATTTGCAGTGGACCCTGCATCTAAATCCATATTCAACCCACCCCAGTTGACCCAGTTCAATATATCACCCCAAGTTATGATAGGGATATATTTTTCCATACTGCAAATGTATGTTACTGTATTTAGTTGACACTGTATAGGGCACCAAAAGTCATTAAAATACAGTTATATTTTAAAGTCAGCTTGGAACCTGAATGACACACATAAGTTGTAGAGTTTAACCTGTAATATTGTACACAATTCAGGTGCTTTATGAGTGTTGTAGTGATGACTGTGTGAGTGTTGTAGTGATGACTGTGTGTGTTGTAGTAATGACTGTGTGAGTGTTGTAGTAATGACTGTGTGAGTGTTGTAGTGATGACCATATGAGTGTTGTAGTGATGACTGTGTGTGTGGTGTAGTAATGACTGTGTGTGTTTTAGTAATGACTGTGTGAGTGTTGTAGTGATGACCATATGAGTGTTGTAGTGATGACTGTGTGTGTTGTAGTGATGACTGTGTAAGTGTTGTAGTAATGACTGTGTGAGTGTTGTAGTGATGACTGTGTGAGTTTTGTAGTGATGACTGTGTGAGTGTTGTAGTGATGACTGTGTGTGTTGTAGTAATGACTGTGTGTGTTGTAGTAATGACTGTGTGTGTTTTAGTAATGACTGTGTGAGTGTTGTAGTGATGACTGTGTGTGTTGTAGTAATGACTATGTGTGTTTTAGTAATGACTGTGTGAGTGTTGTAGTGATGACCGTATGAGTGTTGTAGTGATGACTGTGTAAGTGTTGTAGTGATGACTGTGTGAGTGTTGTAGTGATGACTGTGTGTGTTGTAGTAATGACTGTGTGAGTGTTGTAGTGATGACTGTGTGTGTTGTAGTAATGACTGTGTGTGTTTTAGTAATGACTGTGTGAGTGTTGTAGTGATGACTGTGTGTGTTGTAGTAATGACTGTGTGAGTGTTGTAGTGATGACCATATGAGTGTTGTAGTGATGACTGTGTGTGTTGTAGTAATGACTGTGTGTGTTTTAGTAATGACTGTGTGAGTGTTGTAGTGATGACCATATGAGTGTTGTAGTGATGACTGTGTGAGTGTTGTAGTGATGACTGTGTGTTGTAGTGATGACCATATGAGTGTTGTAGTGATGACTGTTTGAGTGTTGTAGGGATGACTGTGTGAGTGTTGTTGTGATGACTGTGTGTGTTGTAGTGATGACTGTGTGAGTGTTGTAGTGATGACTGTGTGTTGTAGTGATGACCATATGAATGTTGTAGTGATGACTGTGTGAGTGTTCTAGTAATGACTGCGTGAGTGTTGTAGTGATGACTGTCTGTTGCAGTGATGACCATATGATTGTTGTAGTGATGACTATGTGAGTGTTGTAGTAATGACTGTGTGAGTGTTGTAATGATGACTGTGTGAGTGTTGTAGTGACTGTGTGAGTGTTGTAGTGATGACTGTCTGTGTTGTAGTGATGACTGTGTGAGTCTTGTAGTGATGACTGTATGAGTCTTGTAGCAGCAGCAGAAACAACAACACGAGCAAGAGCAGTAGCACCATCACCTACACTACATTAACTACAGTATCATCTACACTACATTAACTACAGTATCATGTACACTACATTAACTACAGTATCATCTACACTACATTAACTACAGTATCATCTACACTACATTAACTACAGTATCATCTACACTACATTAACTACAGTATCATGTACACTACATTAACTACAGTATCATCTACACTACAGTATCATCTACACTACATTAACTACAGTATCATCTACACTACATTAACTACAGTATCATCTACACTACATTAACTACAGTATCATGTACACTACATTAACTACAGTATCATCTACACAACATTAACTACAGTATCACCTACACTACATTAACTACAGTATCATCTACACTACATTAACTACAGTATCATGTACACTACATTAACTACAGTGTCACCTACACTACATTAACTACAGTATCATCTACACTACATTAACTACAGTATCACCTACACTTCATTAACTACAGTATCATCTACACTACATTAACTACAGTATCATCTACACTACATTAACTACAGTATCATGTACACTACATTAACTACAGTATCATCTACACTACAGTATCATCTTCACTACATTAACTTCAGTATCATCTACACTACATTAACTACAGTATCATCTACACTACATTAACTACAGTATCATCTACACTACAGTATCATCTACACTACATTAACTACATTATCTTCTACACTACAGTATCATCTTCACTACATTAACTACAGTATCATCTACACTACATTAACTACAGTATCATCTACACTACATTAACTACTGTATCATCTACACTACATTAACTACAGTGTCATCTACACTACATTAACTACAATATCATCTACACTATACTAACTACAGTATCATCTACACTACATTAACTACAGTATCATCTACACTACAGTAACTTCAGTATCATCTACACTACATTGGCTAAACTATCATCTACACTACATTAACTACAGTATCATCTACACTACAGAAAGATGTGGGATACCATTAAAAAGTGAAAGTTGCATAGTAAAAGTTTATTATAAAAAGAAAAATAATTAATTGAAACTAAATATTTACTCTTTATGGTAAAAAACAAAAAATAAAGGCAAGTTGAAAGTGAAAGTTTGACAAGTTAGAAAGTAAAGGATGTTATCTTACTACAGTGAGGGACTAAGAAGAAAGTAGAAAGTGAAAGTTTTGGGTTAAGAAAGTTTGTTAAAAGATCGTGATGAAAACTCGGTATAAACTATATAGTGAAAGTAAGTTGATAGAAAGCAGAGGGAAAGGGGAAGTAGCGACAAAAATAAGGAAGTAAAAGTGATTTCGTTTAACTTTCTAAGTGGAAGGCATTTGTGAGGGGCCTATAATGTGTGTGTGTGTGTGTGTGTGTGTGTGTGTTTAAGACTGTGAGTTTAATAAAACAATAATAAACAAGATGTACGACAGAGAGAGGGGGGAGGAGTTCATGTCAATAACAGTGTAGTGAAGATGATGAACTGTGTCTAGGGTAGAGAGAGAGGCAGGAGGGAGGTAGGCTCTCTCTCTCTCTCTCTCTCTCTCTCTCTCTCTCTCTCTCTCTCTCTCTCTCCATAGCCCTCACCACAGCCCTCACCTCCCTCATCAGCCCTCATCAGCCCTCACCACAGCCCTCACCTCCCTCATCATAGCCCTCACCAGCCCTCATCACCAGTATCCTTGAAGGGTATTGATATTAAAACTGTTTATTTAGCCAGAAAAATATAGATAGAAAGTGGACAATAACAACAACATTGGCATGGGTGAGCCTGAGCACCTGATTACTGTACATTTATCTCAAGGAATTATTATATAACTTGTAGTATCATCTGGATTACTACATGGTGTTGATAAATACTTATAAGAGTGTTACCGCCTTTATTACTTGATTTAATCTTTTTATTTGTATTATAAATATATATACCACATTTATGCTACAGCTTATAGTTGATATAAGTGGGTGGAAGCGATAGATGGGTTGGGTTAAGGTGAAACAAACGTACTAACAGTCAGGATCATGTCGTGACGTCAAAATATATAATAGGAAGGAAGAGTAGTCTACTAACCCGATTCTTTCCTTACAACCGTTTTCTTCCACAACACGCCAACGACGTCACACAATAAGCTCTGCCCATGCTCGTAGGTTGGTTTCCTAAGATTTTCATAACGAATGTCTTCAGCACAGAGGGGAACTCTTAAATTAATGTCAGTTTTTCACCTGACGGGCAGCAAAGGCTTGTGCCTGGGATCGTCCCCGGGCTGCTGCCTATTCTCTGGCCCAGGCAGTTCTGTTGGTGGGTGGTTTCTTGGGTTGGAGCTCTTGTTGTTTAGGTTGTTCTCTGGCCAAGGCAGTTCTGTTGGTGGGTGGTTTCTTGGGCTGGAGCTCTTGTTGTTTAGGTTGTTCTCTGGCCAAGGCAGTTCTGTTGGTGGGTGGTTTCTTGGGCTGAAGCTCCTGTTGTTTAGGTTGTTCTCTGGCCAAGGCAGTTCTGTTGGTGGGTGGTTTCTTGGGCTGGAGCTCTTGTTGTTTAGGTTGTTCTCTGGCCAAGGCAGTTCTGTTGGTGGGTGGTTTCTTGGGCTGGAGCTCTGTTGTTTAGGTTGTTCACTGGCCAAGGCAGTTCTGTTGGTGGGTGGTTTCTTGGGCTGGAGCTCTTGTTGTTTAGGTTGTTCTCTGGCCCAGGCAGTTCTGTTGGTGGGTGGTTTCTTGGGCTGGAGCTCTTGTTGTTTAGGTTGTTCTCTGGCCAAGGCAGTTCTGTTGGTGGGTGGTTTCTTGGGCTGGAGCTCTTGTTGTTTAGGTTGTTCTCTGGCCCAGGCAGTTCTGTTGGTGGGTGGTTTCTTGGGTTAGGGCTTAGGGTGGATCGGTTCTTGGACTTTCTGTTTATTTTCGAACTGGTGAGCCCTGGCCCTACCCTGGATCGCAGCTTTTCTTCGAGCCCACAGGACCCTTTCAGTCCCAATAGGTATGGGTTTTCCATGGGAGGAAGCCTCCTCGGCATCTTTGGCAGGATCAAGACCCGCCTTCCTGCCTGGAGGCTATTTAGCCATATTCTGAAGGGGTTTTTGGGGGGATGATTCCTCCTCGACGGGATTGGTGACCGGGGTAAGAGTCTCAATTGTCTCTTCGAGACACTTTTCAACGTCTTTTATATCCTCGACGGGATTGGTGACCGGGGTAAGAGTCTCAATTGTCTCCTCGAGACAATTTTCAACGTCTTTTATATCCTCGACGGGATTGGTGACCGGGGTAAGAGTCTCAATTGTCTCCTCGAGACAATTTTCAACATCTTTTATATCCTCGACGGGATTGGTGACCGGGGTAAGAGTCTCAATTGTCTCCTCGAGACAATTTTCAACGTCTTTTATAATTTTCTCCAGGTTGGGCCTCACCTTTGGGTCACTACTGAAAATTGTTTGTTTTACTTCTAAAAGCTTCGTCGGCCATTCCTCCCCTATTTCATGAAATATTGAACTCATTATTTTTCCCAGGTCATATATGTCTGTTGTAGGACTGGCCAAGCGAACACTTGAGGGTTCTGGGCCAAGCTGCAAGTCCTGCCCTAAAAAGCGGGCGTGACCATAATCGACAATATTTACCTGCATGGTTTCTGCTGGGACCACCAGCACATCTTGTGGTTTAAGATCACAGTGCACGACCCCCTTATTATGAATTTGTTGGAGGCTCTTTGCCATCTCCAACATTATTTATAATTATACTTTTAAATCGGCATCTACATCAATATATTTTTTTACGTTTTCACATCCGCGGTATGTGCAAACCAGGGCAGGTTTTTCGAAACATAAGGCGATAAGTAGTGGGGCTCCCCCGGCACCATCCAGGTGCTTCAACATCTGAGCCTCTGCTTGTAGCATTCTAGTGTTTAAGGCCATATTACCATGTTCGTGGTACATTTTCAATACTGCTAGATCAGCATGGAACTAATTGTTCATCTAAAAAAGGAGTAAATTTGCAGTGGACCCTGCATCTAAATCCATATTCAACCCACCCCAGTTGACCCAGTTCAATATATCACCCCAAGTTATGATAGGGATATATTTTTCCATACTGCAAATGTATGTTACTGTATTTAGTTGACACTGTATAGGGCACCAAAAGTCATTAAAATACAGTTATATTTTAAAGTCAGCTTGGAACCTGAATGACACACATAAGTTGTAGAGTTTAACCTGTAATATTGTACACAATTCAGGTGCTTTATGAGTGTTGTAGTGATGACTGTGTGAGTGTTGTAGTGATGACTGTGTGTGTTGTAGTAATGACTGTGTGAGTGTTGTAGTAATGACTGTGTGAGTGTTGTAGTGATGACCATATGAGTGTTGTAGTGATGACTGTGTGTGTGGTGTAGTAATGACTGTGTGTGTTTTAGTAATGACTGTGTGAGTGTTGTAGTGATGACCATATGAGTGTTGTAGTGATGACTGTGTGTGTTGTAGTGATGACTGTGTAAGTGTTGTAGTAATGACTGTGTGAGTGTTGTAGTGATGACTGTGTGAGTTTTGTAGTGATGACTGTGTGAGTGTTGTAGTGATGACTGTGTGTGTTGTAGTAATGACTGTGTGTGTTGTAGTAATGACTGTGTGTGTTTTAGTAATGACTGTGTGAGTGTTGTAGTGATGACTGTGTGTGTTGTAGTAATGACTATGTGTGTTTTAGTAATGACTGTGTGAGTGTTGTAGTGATGACCGTATGAGTGTTGTAGTGATGACTGTGTAAGTGTTGTAGTGATGACTGTGTGAGTGTTGTAGTGATGACTGTGTGTGTTGTAGTAATGACTGTGTGAGTGTTGTAGTGATGACTGTGTGTGTTGTAGTAATGACTGTGTGTGTTTTAGTAATGACTGTGTGAGTGTTGTAGTGATGACTGTGTGTGTTGTAGTAATGACTGTGTGAGTGTTGTAGTGATGACCATATGAGTGTTGTAGTGATGACTGTGTGTGTTGTAGTAATGACTGTGTGTGTTTTAGTAATGACTGTGTGAGTGTTGTAGTGATGACCATATGAGTGTTGTAGTGATGACTGTGTGAGTGTTGTAGTGATGACTGTGTGTTGTAGTGATGACCATATGAGTGTTGTAGTGATGACTGTTTGAGTGTTGTAGGGATGACTGTGTGAGTGTTGTTGTGATGACTGTGTGTGTTGTAGTGATGACTGTGTGAGTGTTGTAGTGATGACTGTGTGTTGTAGTGATGACCATATGAATGTTGTAGTGATGACTGTGTGAGTGTTCTAGTAATGACTGCGTGAGTGTTGTAGTGATGACTGTCTGTTGCAGTGATGACCATATGATTGTTGTAGTGATGACTATGTGAGTGTTGTAGTAATGACTGTGTGAGTGTTGTAATGATGACTGTGTGAGTGTTGTAGTGACTGTGTGAGTGTTGTAGTGATGACTGTCTGTGTTGTAGTGATGACTGTGTGAGTCTTGTAGTGATGACTGTGTGTGTTGTAGTAATGACTGTGTGAGTGTTGCAGTGTTGTAGTGATGACTGTGTGAGTGTGGTGATAACTGTGTGAGTGTTGTAGTGATGACTGTGAGTGTTGTAGTGATGACTGGCATATGAGTGACTGGTGTGGTATGACTTGTGAGTGTTGAGCATGACCATATGAGTGTTGTAGTGATGACTGTGTGAGTGTTGTAGTGATGACTGTGTGAGTGTTGTAGTGATGACCATATGAGTGTTGTAGTGATAACTGTGTGAGTGTTGTGTGATGCTATGAGTGTTGTGATGACTGTGTGAGTGTTGTAGTGATGACTGTGTGAGTCTTGTAGTGATGACTGTGTGTGTTGTAGTGATGACTGTGTGAGTGTTGTAGTGATGACTGTGTGTTGTAGTGATGACCATATGAGTGTTGTAGTGATGACTGTGTGAGTCTTGTCGTGATGACTTTGTGAGTCTTGTAGTGATGACTGTGTGTGGTGTAGTGATGACTGTGTAAGTGTTGTAGTGATGACTGTGTGAGTCTTGTAGTGATGACTGTGTGTGTTTTGTAGTGATGACTGTGTGAGTGTTGTATCGATGACTGTGTGAGTCTTGTAGTGATGACTGTGTGTGTTGTAGTGATGATTGTGTGAGTGTTGTAGTGATAACTGTGTGAGTGTTGTAGTGATGACTGTGTGAGTGTTGTAGGTATGATTGTGTGAGTGTTGTAGGTATGATTGTGTGAGTCTTGTAGTGATGACTGTATGAGTGTTCTAGTGATGACTGTGTGTGTTGTAGTGATGACTGTGTGAGTCTTGTAGTGATGACTGTATGAGTCTTGTAGCAGCAGCAGAAACAACAACACGAGCAAGAGCAGTAGCACCATCACCTACACTACATTAACTACAGTATCATCTACACTACATTAACTACAGTATCATCTACACTACATTAACTACAGTATCATGTACACTACATTAACTACAGTATCATCTACACTACATTAACTACAGTATCATCTACACTACATTAACTACAGTATCATGTACACTACATTAACTACAGTATCATGTACACTACATTAACTACAGTATCATCTACACTACAGTATCATCTACACTACATTAACTACAGTATCATCTACACTACATTAACTACAGTATCATCTACACTACATTAACTACAGTATCATGTACACTACATTAACTACAGTATCATCTACACAACATTAACTACAGTATCACCTACACTACATTAACTACAGTATCATCTACACTACATTAACTACAGTATCATGTACACTACATTAACTACAGTATCATGTACACTACATTAACTACAGTATTATCTACACTACAGTATCATCTACACTACATTAACTACAGTATCATCTACACTACATTAACTACAGTATCATCTACACTACATTAACTACAGTATCATGTACACTACATTAACTACAGTATCATCTACACTACAGTATCATCTACACTACATTAACTACAGTATCATCTACACTACATTAACTACAGTATCATCTACACTACATTAACTACAGTATCATGTACACTACATTAACTACAGTATCATCTACACTACATTAACTACAGTATCATCTACACTACATTAACTACAGTATCACCTACACTACATTAACTACAGTATCATCTACACTACATTAACTACAGTATCATGTACACTACATTAACTACAGTATCACCTACACTACATTAACTACAGTATCATCTACACTACATTAACTACAGTATCATGTACACTACATTAACTACTGTATCATCTACACTACAGTATCATCTACACTACATTAACTACAGTATCTTCTACACTACAGTATCATCTTCACTACATTAATCACAGTATCACATCTACACTACATTAACTACAGTATCATCTACACTACATTAACTACAGTATCATCTTCTACCACATTAACTACAGTATCATCTACACTACAGTATCATCAACAATACATTAACTACAGTATCATTTACACTACATTAACTACAGTATCATCTTTACACTACATTAACTACTGTATCATCTGCACAACATTAACTACAGTATCATCTTACACTACATTAACTACAGTATCATCTACACTACATTAACTACAGTATCATCTACACTACAGCATCATCTTCACTACATTAACTACAGTATCATCTACACCACATTAACTACAGTATCATCTACACTACAGTATCATCTGCAATGTAACATTAACTACAGTAAGTATCACCTACACTACATTAACTACAGTATCATCTTCACTACATTAACTACAGTATCATCTACACTACATTGACTACAGTATCTTCTACACTACAGTATCATCTTCACTACATTAACTACAGTATCTTCTACACTACAGTATCATCTTCACTACATTAACTACAGTATCATCTACACTACATTAACTACAGTATCATCTACACTACATTAACTACAGCATCATGTACGCTACATTAACTACTGTGCCATCTACACTACAGTATCATCTACACTACATTAACTACAGTATCTTCTACACTACAGTATCATCTTCACTACATTAACTACAGTATCATCTACACTACATTAAATACTGTATCATCTACACTACATTAACTACAGTATCATCTACACTACATTAACTACA